CCATGGCCAAGACCAAAGAGCTCTCCAAGGATGTCAGGGACAAGATTGTAGACCTACACAAGGCTGGAATGAGCTACAAGACCATCACCAAGCAGCTTGGTGAGAAGGTGACAACAGTTGGTGCGATTATTCGCAAATGGAAGAAACACAAAATAACTGTCAATCTCCCTCGGCCTGGGGCTCCATGCAAGATCTCACCTCGTGGAGTTGCAATGATCATGAGAACGGTGAGGAATCAGCCCAGAACTACACGGGAGGATCTTGTCAATGATCTCAAGGCAGCTGGGACCATAGTCACCAAGAAAACAATTGGTAACACACTACGCTGTGAAGGACTGAAATCCTGCAGCGACCGCAAGGTCCCCCTGCTCAAGAAAGCACATATACAGGGCCGTCTGAAGTTTGCCAATGAACATCTGAATGATTCAGAGGAGAACTGGGTGAAAGTGTTGTGGTCAGATGAGACCAAAATGGAGCTCTTTGGCATCAACTCAACTCGCCGTGTTTGGAGGAGGAGGAATGCTGCCTATGACCCCAAGAACACCATCCCCACCGTCAAACATGGAGGTGGAAACATTATGCTTTGGGGGTGTTTTTCTGCTAAGGGGACAGGACAACTTCACCATATCAAAAGGGACGATGGACGGGGCCATGTACCGTCAAATCTTGGGTGAGAACCTCCTTCCCTCAGCCAGGGCATTGAAAATGGGTCGTGGATGGGTATTCCAGCATGACAATGACCCAAAACACACGGCCAAGGTAACAAAGGAGTGGCTCAAGAAGAAGCACATTAAGGTCCTGGAGTGGCCTAGCCAGTCTCCAGACCTTAATCCCATAGAAAATCTGTAGAGGGAGCTGAAGGTTCGAGTTGCCAAACGTCAGCCTCTAAACCTTAATGACTTGGAGAAGATCTGCAAAGAGGAGTGGAACAAAATCCCTCCTGAGATGTGTGCAAACCTGGTGGCCAACTACAAGAAACGTCTGACCTCTGTGATTGCCAACAGGGGTTTTGCCACCAAGTACTAAGTCATGTTTTGCAGAGGGGTCAAATACTTATTTCCCTCATTAAAATGCAAATCAATTTATAACATTTTTGACATGCGTTTTTCTGGATTTTGTTGTTGTTATTTTGTCTCTCACTGTTCAAATAAACCTACCATTAAAATTATAGACTGATCATGTCTTTGTCAGTGGGCAAACGTACAAAATCAGCAGGGGATCAAATACTTATTTCCCTCACTGTAGCTACTGTAGTGGGTCAAAGCTGTGTGCTGGAAAACCTTAGTAGAGCATGGGTGGAATAGGCATTGTGGCGCTCATGAGAATTTCCTTTCTTTTTTGGCTTCAGACCAATGCCTATTCTAACTTAAATCGTAGTTTTTTGTTTTTAATATACAGGTAACTGCCAGAAACACTTGAGTAAATGAGGGATACAAAGATTATTGAAAGCAGGTGCTTGCATACAGGTGTGGTTCCTGACTTAATTAAGCAATTAACATCCCATCATGCTTAGGGTCATATAAAAATGCCCAATTGCCAATTATTTCAGCTGCCATGGCTAGAAAACGAGATCTCAGTGACTTTGAAAGAGGGGTCTCAAAGGAGCATAAGAGGTTTAAAGTGTGTGTTTGTGTATGTGGGGGGGGGGGCTGGAGAGGGGGGAGGAGAGAAAGAAAGAATGATGTTGGTGGGAAAGGGGGGAGAGAGAATGTGAGCGGGACAGAGAGACAATGAGAGAAAGAGAGATGGAGAGAGTGAAAGAAACAACAGAAAGGAAAGAGAAAAGGAGAGAGAGAGAGAGATCTGAGACTGAGAGAGAGAATGCGGAAAGCGGGGGAGAGAGAGAAAGTGAGAGAGCAGAGAGAGAGAAGGCCCTTGAGCTCTCATAAAACTAGTGGCGCAGTAATCATGGTCTGTCTGTCTGATGGCTATTTGTACACTAGGTGGCACCATAAACCACCAGAGACATTGGAATTTTAAACAGCTGCACTCTCCATAGTCATACACTACCGTTCAAAGGTTTGGGGTCACTTAGAAGTGTCCTTGTTTTCGAAAGAAAAGCAATTTTTTTGTCCATTAAAATAACATCAAATTGATCAGAAATACAGCGTAGACATTGTTAATGTTGTAAATGGCTATTGTAGCTGGAAACGGCAGATTTTTAATGGAATATCTACATAGGCGTACAGAGGCCCATTATCAGCAACCATCAGTCCTGTGTTCCAATGGCACGTTGTGTTTGCTAATCCAGGTTTATCATTTTAAACGGCTAATTGATTATTAGAAAACCCTTTTGCAATTATGTTAGCACAGCTGAAAACGGTTGTGCTGATTAAAGAAGCAATAAAACTGGCCTTCATGAGACTAGTTGAGTATCTGGAACATCAGCAATTGTGGGTTCGATTACAGGCTCAAAATGGCCAGAAACAAATAACTTTCTTCTGAAACTCGTCAGTCTATTCTTGTTCTGAGAAATTAAGGCTATTCCATGCGAGAAATTGCCAAGAAACTGAAGATCTTGTACAACGCTGTGTACTACTCCCTTCACAGAACAGCGCAAACTGTTATAAATAAAGTAATGGTATGGTGGTTTTAAAGTAAGTGGTACGCTGATCATCTAAAATATAACCACACCAGGGATTAGAACTCACAACCTCTGGATTTGAGGCGTGCTGATATAGTATTTTCCTACACATGACCTATAATACAGCTCTGCTCTTAGCAAAATCGTGCAATCTGCACTCCTATTTTAGCTATCAGTTCATCTGACTATTCTCTCATCATTGATTTAATGTACTTATTTTAGCACTTTGAGGTTTTTCTGGGTATACTGTCTAATGTTGGTAGGGCATATTATTCTGTTTCAATGTTACTCCTGAATCACTAGGATAAATATAATAATTTTTCTTGAGCGTATTTTTAACAAAGCTGAGATTTACTTTGAAGTCCAAAGTGTAGGAATACAGGTGAAATCAGTAATTGACAGACATGGTGGCATAGGATGAAGTACAGAATGGCGAGTTCAAATCCCTGGTGAGGACATATTGAATAATAATTATTGCAAAAAATAAACATACACAATGTAGTCATGTGTGTACTATATGTAAGTTGAAAACACTGTATGTGAAAAGCACTGTGTGTATCTTAACGACACATGTTGGTTGTCACTTGAAGTGTTCCAAAAACACATTTTCACATTCGAAATGTCACATTAAGTGTTCCAATAACACTTTTTCGCATGACTTTACGTGTGAAATCATGTGATTTTTCCGTAAGGGATTGCATGCAGATTTATCAAAATCTAAATGGTGATGTGGCTTAATAAATACTGCGATCTGATGCCACAGCTGTAGGCCTATATTGTCATTACATACATCACCTGTGGTGATCCAATGAACCCTATGAACTCTCCTGGACTGGATTCAGGCAAGATATGTAGTTGTTTTATGGATAAAACTGTAGCATAAAATACTTAATATTTGAGATCTATTAATGGAAATGATTAATTGGAAAACAGATTCATGCCCCGTTACTGTTGGGCTGTTATCCATTGAATTAATCTCCCTTTCTGTCTCTTTTGATTCTGAATTCCCCCTCAACCTCCGTCTCTGAGAGAGTGCCAACACCAGACGATTTTACTATTATTCTATTAACATATTTTAGAGCATATTCCTTTGCCTCGCAGAGGAAAAGCTTTCCATAAACATTCCTAGGCTGACTACTCTTCTCTCACCACAATCTCCCTTTGCAGTCACGTTTGTGAGAGAGCGCGCGCGCACACACACACACACACCCGGTGCAGTCACTTACACAAACCACTGCACCTATGTGCTGTGTTTAGCTGAGATTACCTTTGTTAACATGACCCGGTCGTGCTAGGCTTGTTCTCATGGTTATCCGGGTACACTAATTGTAGTTGATCGGGTTTATCACGCTTTCTCGTGTTCCTGCACCAACACTTACAACACCACCACCATCAGTATTCCTGTCTCCGGGGAACCTTGGATTTGACTAATGTGCCCGAGCATCGTCCCTGATGAAATCGATGAGAACCAGCTGTACGATTTTGATGATACCCTAGGCCAGGGTTCTTCAATTCCGGTCCTGGAGGGCCGAAACACCTCTGTTTTTCATCCTCTCCTTCTAATCAGGGGCTAATTCAGACCTGGGACACCAGGTGAGTGCAATTAACTACCAGGTAGAAATAAAAAACAGAAGTGTTTCGGCCCTCCAGGACCGGAATTGAAGAACCCTGCCCTAGGCTACTACAGTTCCACGGGTTGTCCTGCTTTCTTATTTAGGTGATGCATTCATCGACATAAATACATAACATCAAGCGATCATAGCGTATGAAAAGCACAAACAAATTGAATGCTTATCAGTTTATTATTATTAACTGCAAAGGGAAACTATAAACTGTTGGATTATTGTCACCTCGATCTAAATTTGGTGGGACGCGAGACACGGTCTCATATCGTTCTCACTATCTCCGGTGCTGATGGTCCTCATGATCAATGAGATTGTGTTGCAACGACAGTCCCGCCTCTCGATATTGACTTACATGCTTTTGCTCTCTCTCTCTCTCTCTCTCTCTCTCTCTCTCTCTCTCTCTCTCTCTCTCTCTCTCTCTCTCTCTCTCTCTCTCTCTCTCTCTCTCTCTCTCTCTCTCTCTCTCTCTCTCTCTCTCTCTCTCTGGTTGTCCTGGTGATAACGAGATAGAGGAGCCGAACAACACTGAAGGCAAGAGACAGAGGGATGAGATGGAAACGGTTGGAATAAGTATCTGCGTTCATTATAGCCTAATGATTGAATGAAGTGGAACATAGCTTGTGTAGCGTCTTTCATGATATGTTCACGGATCCTTTGATCTTCCAAAAAAGAATTACCCAGACTGCGCTTTTTCAGGGTTGTTGAACTAGATAGACAAGTCCCTTTTCTCATAATTATTGATTTCTGACGCCGCCAAACTGAAGTTCATCGTTATCATCTTGGCTGCCGGGATGGTGGCCTTCGTTGGAGCGGTCATCTGCATCATTGCCGTGGTCCATTCCGGCTCCGCAGCCGAATCTCCCCAGCAACCCGTGGCAGACAACCAGTCGCAGTCTCCGGACGCTGGAGTGCAGCAGACTTTCCCCGGGGGCTCCGTGGCGCGAGCGGGTCCACTGGGCGCTCTCCATGGTTCTGAAACGCAGGACGGAGAAGCGCCCACCTTCTTCCACGTCCCCAGCGGCTCAGACGGCATTGGTGGAACTAGGCAGGTTAGCCGACTTATCTGCACCCCAGTCCCCGCCGGGGAATGCAACCCAAAAAACTTTCCGCAACAAGCGGACGACCCGTCGCTGTACGCCGGCGAGGACTGGGGATACCTCCGTACCACGGCAGAGGAACTCAAACAGACAGTGCTCCAGCAGAAGGACCAGATTATCATCGACCAGCGGACCATTAGGGATCTGTCAGGCAAGCTTTCGGAGTGTGAGAGCGGAATAGAGAGGCGTAGCGGCCCGGAGAGTAGCGCGGGGCTCTGGGGAGGTAAAAGGGTAGATGAGGGCCGGCTCATGGTCCGGGACATTGCTCCGTCGTCGACTGTTGCACAGCTGCTCACTGCTCAAGCTGTGGACGAGCTGGAACAGGCTATCGTTCAGATGAAAGATCGCATAGAGAAACTGGAGGTAAGGGGAAATGGGAGAAACATGTATCATGTCTGTTGGTGTTGAATTCCACTATCACATATCTTTATTTTAAACAAACTGTTCTTGTATCTTTAAATAAAGCAGTGAATAGGTTAATTATGTCCCTCTTGTGGGTTCGAGCCGATGTGGTGATTACAGAGTCAGTTGACCTGCTTGGCAGACCTCGATAGCACTCACTAAATCTGAATTTCTACTCACGTCTCTGATGGCAGTATGTCGGTGTGGCTACGTGGTTTTACTGTTTGATTGAGACCATTTCCAGTTAATAGAAATCAGGAACAGGATTAGATCAGGTGAGATGACCATTCATAATAGACCTACAGGTAACTGCCAAAATAAATGAAACACCAACATAAAGTGTTGGGCCATCACAAGCCAATGGGTTGAGATCTGGTGACACACACACACACACACACACACTTTAAACTTCCTATGCTCCTTTGAGACCCCTCTTTCAAAGTCACTGAGATCTGTTTTTCTAGCCATGGTTAAAATAATGGTTAGTACTATCCGGGATCCTTGGGACATCCCTACCCTAAATCCTATCTTAATACCTACCCTTACTATAACCCTAATTTTAACCATAACCCTTAACTAACCCTGAACTTAACCCTGACCTAAACCATTTTACATTTCAACTTCAATTGGTTAACATCGAAGTCCCAAGGATGCAGGATAGCAAGGACTCCCAAATAATGGGCAACTGGGCATTTTTATACATGACCTTAAGAATGATGAGATGTTAATTGCTTAATTAACTCAGGAACCACACCTGTGTGGAAGCACCTGCATTCAATATACTTTATATCCCTCATTTACTCAAGGGTTTCCTTTATTTTGGCAGTATATCAACGTCTTTGACTTATTGTCCGTGAAAATTGATTAGATGCATTATATTCAACTTGGCTGTAGCAATATGTACATATTTTGGAATCATTTGTTTCTATTGCACCATTACAATATCTTCTCAACCTGCTTCACAACTCAAATTAAATTTAGCCAATTTGATGAATGGAAAACCAAAAACAAGAATGTTGTAGGATAATTGATTAGGCCTAGTCTACAGACACAGGAGTATTTGTTATTCCAGCCAGCTCTGCTTCCCAACATAACTAACCCAGGGGAGGAGAGGAGGAGGGGTGGAGGAGGGAGGGGAGCGGAACACAAAGCTGCTTTATAGCTGCCTGCCAAGCAACATATGATGTACAACCCCATTTCTTCTGGAGAAAATATCATAAATTATTCATCCAATCAGTTACCTATATTTGTCTAGAGCAGATGCCATCATATTCTTTTTGCAGCCTCTGCCTAGCACAGTGCTATTATACTATATCAGTGGTGTACCTCTGTATCAGTGGTTCCCAACCGTCTTTGGTCACTGAACCCCCAGTCACGTTGCAACTGATCATTAGGCCTATAGTCTTAAAACAAATGTACCCCATGTGGAAAGGCGAGGTACCCCCAAGGGCACTAGTACCTCATGTTGAGAACCACTGCTCTATATGTAACTTACAGCATGTGCCTCACTGTAAATAACATGTTGCATTGTCTGTGTGTGTATTTGACTGCACTTTGTTTTGCTGCAGTTGTATTGTTTTTCCTTGGCTGAATAATGACTGAGAGGACCTTTAATTACTTGCTTTCCCGGCACTTTTTCTGCATTTCGCTGCACATAATTGATTATGCATATTTATTTTGTTTTAACTCCAGAGATTAGAGTGCTTATCTAACAGGAAGGCCCACATTAATCACAGCACATTAAAAAGTGTGAGTGCAGCTCTAAAAATCTAATTGGCTTCCAGTGTTGCGCTCGAGACCACCTAAAGCGAGACCGATTTAAGACCAAGACCAGAGCAAATCGAGTCCGAGTCAAGATCAAGACCGGAGGGGGGGGGGTGGTGAGACCGAGTCAAGACTGGGAGGGGGACAAGGGGTCCAAGACCGAGTCAAGACCGAGACCAGAGAAATGCGAGTCCAATTCAAGACCATGATTGTAATTTTGTCAAATCTCCACTATAATAAGAGTTCAAAATGTCCAGTATTTCTGTGTTCATATTTCAGAAGAACATATGCATTTTTTAGACATTCAGAATGGTGAAAAAAAATGCATGCTGTGGGCAAATAGAGCCACTCTACAAATTATTACTAAACCAAACACAGTTGGGAACAATGGGCCTTCTACGCTTTCAGAGAAGGGCTAAGGATTTATTGAATAATAATAACAATAATAATTATATTATTCTTTTCAATTATGTTCTGATTTAATCTCTTCAGTTTTTGTTGAAAAGTGTTAACACTGAAGAGAAAAAAATATAAAATCAGGATTTTTATTTGGTCGTCTCTGGGGCTAGCTAAGTCAGCCATTGGCTAGGCCATCAGAAGCTAGATAGAAGGCATCTGCCATTCAACTGTATTAGGGCAACAATTTGGAGTGACAGTGGAATCAACCAATCACATTTTGATTTGTAATCGATGGGACCGTTTTTACAAAAAACTTTCTCTTCTCAATGGCCAACAGGTCACTGCACAATAGCAAGCAGTAGTTTTCCCACAGTCTAGCTAGCTATCTTTTGTTGTAGGCTAATTTGCAGCGGCTGCAGCAGGTGTTATCAAAGAAGATGTTGTTGCTAATTTGTTAGATTCTCCCTTTTCAAGAATACATTTCAACAAGAAGTTAACCTTTTTCTGCAGTGGGCTAAATCAGGGTCACACAGAGTGATTCTTGGTAGTCTTAAATAAATCTACTTTGAAACAAAAGTATACACCTCACACACATGGTTATGGGATTTAAAAAATACACCGGTATCATGTCAGATATAGAGTTGAAATGTATTAAATGTTTTGTTTTTTATCCCAGTATTACACTTTATATACAGTGCATTCGGAAAGTATTCAGAACCCTTCCCTTTTTCCATATTTTGTTACATTATAGCCTTATTCTAAAATTGATTAAATAAAAACATTTCCTCATCAATCTACACACAATACCCCATAATGACAAAGCGAAAACAGGTTTTTAGAAATGTAAAAAACAGAAATAGCTTATTTACATAAGTATTCAGATCCTTTGCTATGAGACTCGATAATTGAGCTCAGGTGCATCCTGTTTCCATTGATCATCCTTGAGATATTTCTACAACTTGATTGGAGTCCACCTGTGGTAAATTCAATTGATTGGACATGATTTGGAAAGGCACACACCTGTCTATATAAGGTCCGATGCATGTCAGAGCAAAAACCAAGCCATGAGGTCGAAGGAATTGTCCGTAGAGCTCCGAGACAGGATTGTGTCGAGGCACAGATCTGGGGAAGGGTACCAAAACATTTCTGCAGCATTGAAGGTCCCCAAGAACACAGTGGCTTCCATTATTCTTAAATGGAAGGAGTTTGGAACCACCAAGACTCTTCCTAGAGCTGAGCAATCGGGGGAGAAGGGCCTTGGTCAGGGAGTTGACCAAGAACCCGATGGTCACTCTGGCAGAGCTCCAGAGTTCCTCTGTGGAGAGGGGAGAACCTTCCAGAAGGACAACCATCTCTGCAGCACTCCACCAATCAGGCCTTTATGGTAGAGTGGCCAAACAAAAGCCACTCCTCAGTAAAAGGCATATGACAGCCTGCTTGGAGTTTGCAAAAAGGCACCTAAATGACTCTCAGACCATGAGAAACAAGATTCTCTGGTCTGATGAAACCAATATTGAACTCTTTGGCCTGAATGCCAAGCGTCACGTCTGGAGGAAAACTGGCACCGCTCATCACCTGGCCAATACCATCCCTACGCTGAAGTATGGTGGTGGCAGCATCATGCTGTGGGCATGTTTTTCAGCGGCATGGACTGGGAGACTAGTCAGGATCGAGGGAAAGATGAATGGAGCAAAGTACATGAAAACCTGCTCCAGAGCGCTCAGGACCTCAGACTGGGGTGAAGGTTCACCTTCCAACAGGACAACAACCCTAAGCACACAGCCAAGACAATGCAGAGTGGCTTCGGGACAAGTCTCTGAATGTCCTTGAGTGGCCCAGCCAGAGCCCGGACATGAACCCGATCTAACATCTCTGGAGAGACCTGAAAATTGCTGTGCAGCGACGCTCCCCATCCAAGCTGACAGAGCTTGAGAGGATCTGCAGAGAAGAATGGGAGAAACTCCCCAAATACAGGTGTGCCGAGCTTGTAGCGTCATACCCAAGAAGACTCAAGGCTGTAATCGCTGCCAAAGGTGCTTCAACAAAGTACTGAGTAAAGAGTCAGAATACTTATGTAAATGTGATATTTCTTTTTCTTTTTTTTTTATAAATTTCAAAAAAAGTGTTTTTGCTTTGTCATTTTGGGGTATTGTGTGTAGCTTGCTGAGGATGTATATATTTTTAAATCCATTTTAGAATAAGGCTGTAACGTACAAACATTTGGAAAAAGTGGAAGGGTCTGAATACTTTCCGAATGCACTGTACATCACAGAAGACTGAAATATAACAAAAAAAATTGACATAGAAACAACGGATTTCCATGGTGAAATAAATAAATAATCTTTATTAATTATGAAATGATTAACAATATTAATAACATTCCACCCATGAGGCCAAAGAGGGCGCTATTGGTCATTGACTGCAGGAAAGGGTTGTTTCAAATTAGCATCATCTGGTGAGTGGAACTGTGTTTTTTGTAATAATAATGTCTTATTTTTTTGTTTTTGCTCAATCTGATTGGGTGGGCCTGGCAAGGCCTGGCTCCCCAGTGGGTGGGCCTCTGTCCACACAGGCCCACTCATGTCTATGCCCCTGATGTAAACAGCTCATGATGACTGCATTGCACATCACAAATAGCATACAAACCAAGACTTCAGACTAAACTTTTTCAATATCTGGTTTGCATACCCATTGTTGCCTTAGTTAGCATTTACTGGTAGATATCATAAGTTGAAACTTCTTTCCTACCTATTAAATAATAATATGCCATTTTGCAGACGCTTTTATCCAAAGCAACTTACAGTCATGCGTGCATACATTTTTGTGTATGGGTGGTCCCGGGGATTGAACCCACTACCTTGGCGTTACAAGCGCCGTGCTCTACCAGCTGAGCTACAGAGGACCACGATTACTTTCTTTTGTGAGCTGCTCCATGCCAAAACCAGTTGACAGCTGCACACTCTTGCTGCCTGCAGATTATATTCTGCTAAAACTAGGCTATGTGTGCGGCGCGCATGTGAATATATTTCACGTGCTTTGCGATTGTGTAGGCTACTTTGTGCATGATTTCACTATTGTACTACATAATTGATAAGTTGTATACCTCCACTACACTACTTTTATAAGCATCAGTGGGGAGTAAGAAGTGAGTACACGCAATACCCACTGAAAAACAGGTGGGTATACGGTGTTTACCTGCATATAGCTTCCACTACACCACTGGCCATTTGTGTTTTACAAAAAGTGCACTCTCCTACATGAGTGTGCTGGTATTACCGTTGCTGTCCTTTCAGAATCACAAACCTGTCACACACTGAAGGCCTAGGTCCAATAGGTTCGCCACTGCGCAAATATGTCAATAGATAGATATAAAGACTGTTCAGGTATTCAGGTTTCAAGATAGGAGGGTATATATTTGGCCTGGCTAAGTGGTTTAATGCGCTTATTGAATGGAAGCTGATAATTATGAATGTTTTACTCTGCTGGTCTCGTAAAGAAATTACGAATCCTCACTGTCCGAGACCAAGTCAAGACCGGGAAGAAATTAGAGTCCTCACTGTCCGAGACCGAGTCAAGACCAAGTACAAATGTATCCGACACCAAGACAAGACCGAGACACACAAAATGTGGTCTCGAGACCGGACTCGAGTACTACAACACTGTTGGCTTCATTTGTCTTTGATGTATTTCATTGTCTGCTCTTCCCTCCCACACTCCCTCCCATGAAGTCAGATATCGGACCGCTGGCGTTCCCTCACAACCACACGGATGCAGCAACTGTGGTGGCTTCAAGAGGGGCAGGTGGTGGTGGTGGGCTCTCTGAGGCCCCTGATGGTTGGGGTGATGCAGGGCCAGGGGGGCAGGCCGGGACAGGGGATGGACCAGAGCAGTGGCCACGGATGGAGGATCTGGAGGGAGAGCTTGAGAAGAAGCTGGAACTCCTGGAGAAGGAGAGGAAGGCCATGCGAAAGGAATCCCAAAGACACAGGAAGGAGATTGACCAGGGGATAAACTCCCTACACCACCGCATCGCTGGCCTGGAGGAGGGTGAGAGAAGGGGCAGAGGGTTAGGTGTAAGAGAAGATCAATGGTCATGAGTGATACTCATACCTGAATGATATTGATTGATATGGTGGGGGGGGTTAAGAGTCGGGGACATGAAACCATAACTGATGTACCAGAAAGGTAACTTATTATCAATCTATGAAAATGACTTCAACATATTATGATACAGAATAAGAAAAAAGGACATAACAAGAAAGAAAATCCAAGTGGATATACCATAGAACAGAGATGAGATATCCTGGGGGCAGGAAGGAAGTCAATGTAGCCATTGCATAAACCCCCAAAGTACACTACAAAGTCCTAACAAGACAAGTCTGTTCAACATTCCACCTACCAAATTACCTCATTACTCAAACACTCTTTCCCTCCCTCTCTCTTTCTCCACATATACCTCCTTACCCCAGGACTCTCAGAGTACCCTGAGGGCTACAAGCTGTCCTTCCCAGCGCGTACCAACTATATGTACGCGGTGGTGCAGCACCACATCCCTGAGCTGTGTGCCTTCACCGTGTGCCTCTGGCTGAGACCCACCGAAGAGGGCATCGGCACCCCTTTCTCCTACGCTGTGGCGGAGCAGCCCAACGAGCTAGTTCTGTTGCAGGGCCTGCACACCCCTGTGGAGCTGCTCATTAACGACAAGGTAATGGAGGATACAGAGCAGCAGTATTTTAGGGCACACTGAGTTAGACACAGCACAGTTTAAGCTGGAGCTATAACAGTACCTGGGAGTTTACTGTAGATTGATGTCTGCGACCAAAATGACACCCCATTCCCTATGTAGTGCACTACTTTTGACCAAAGCCCTGGTCAAAAGTAGTGCACTACATAGGGAATAGGATACCATTTGGGACACAGGCAAAGCACCGTTTAGGCTAGAGCTGGATAGTGTAGATTAGCATGATGTCATTATGGTAATACAATGCCTGGAAGGCATAGAGAGCTACCTAGCTGGCTGTGTCCTTGAGGAAGTGCAGTCCGTGCCTTTGAGAAAGTAATGCTGCGGAAAATGTTACTGTAATAAAAGAGCTGGATTAATATATTCCATTTGTTTAATTAACCACTTAAGGATCGGACCCTTTTTTTCAATTTTCGCCTAAAATGACATACCCAAATCTAACTGCCTGTAGCTCAGGACTTGACGCAAGGATATACCATTTGAAAGGAAACACTTTGGACTATTTCGTATCAAGTCTGCCCAAATGTGCCGAATTGGTCAATTGATACATTTTCAAGTACATAACTATAAAGAACATACAAAAATGATATGGTAATACAAAATGTAAGTTTACACGCTCCCAGGAATGTCATACATGATGGATCATTAGCTTATACACTAACTTTCACACATCTAGATGGCCGGGCGGGGTGGGTGTGGAGCCAGAGACAGCAGGGGTTCAAACTGTAGAACCCAGTTCCCACATTTGAATATAACAATTTATTTTATCAAGCAAAACTATGCTACATTGTATCTCTGGGACCCTTAGGATGACAAATCAGAGCAAGATTACTGAATGTAAGTACATTATTTACCTTCAGAGGTGAATGTATCAAACCAGTTGACGTGATAAGTTTTTTGTTGTTGTGCACTCTCCTCAAACAATAGCATGGTATTTTTTCACTGTAATAGCTACTGTAAATTGGACAGTGCAGTTAGGTTAACAATAATTCAAGCTTTCTGCCCATGTAAGACATGTCTATGTCCTGGAGAGTTTGCTGTTACTTACAACAGTCATGCTAATCACATTAGCGCACCTTAGCTCAACCGTCCCGTATGAGGGACACCGATTCCGTAGAGGTTAATGTCTCCATACAGTGTGTTGAACAGCAAGATACCAGCACTTAAATAGCACAATATTTTATCTAATATAATATTGAGTTTTAGTCTAGGATATTCTGTACAACACATGGTTTAGGGTCAGTACAGAGAACCACTTCGTCATATGATTGATTGTCCATTGATTTGTTGTTGTTGCCATCTTAAATACTTCATTTGCAGTCTAATATAGTCTGCAGTATCACTGCATTACCTGCACTATAACACTTACACTCATACTCACCCGCACTGTTGTCCTCCCACCCCTAGGTGGCGCAGTTACCTCTGAACCTGTCCCGGGGTAGCTGGCACCACATCTGTGTGAGCTGGAGCCAGAGAGGCGGGGCGTGGCAAGCCTACCAGGGGGGCAAGCTGAGAGGAGAGGGGCAGGGCCTGGCAGCCTGGCACCACATCAGGCCTGGAGGAGTCCTCATCCTGGGGCAGGAACAGGTAAGACCTGGAGGGGTTGGTATTTTGGTGAGGTCAGGAGTGGTGGGTTGAAGAGACAGCAATGGCATAGACCTATAGGGGGTTGTTGTTTTTAAAGGACAGCGTATTTGATTGTTTATTGAGATATAGACACAGGGATGAAAAGAGAGGGGCCAAGTGAGAGGAACATGCAGAGTTGAAGTGGGGGACTTGAGCATGAAACCCCGGTCTCTCAGGGCAATGCCAAGTCCGGAGTTACCACTAGAACAAACTCTGACACATCTCTTCCTCTTTTCACCTCTTTCACTCCTCCACCTCCTTCTGCCTGTAGGACACTCTGGGCGGGCGTTTCGACTCGTCCCAGGCTCTGGTGGGGGAGCTATCCCAGTGGAACGTATGGGAGCGGGTCCTTACCCCCAGCGAGGTGTCCATACTGGCCCACTGCAGCCAGCACGGCCCCCAGCCAAAGGGTAACGTGGCCCCCTGGACCAACCAGGAAGTGGAGGTGTTCGGAGGAGCCACCAAGGTGCCCAGGGAGCCCTGCGCTGCCAAACGCACCAACACCCCACTGTGAGGAGAAGGGAGATATAGGAGCCAGTGACCTTATTCACAAAGTGTCTCAGAGTAGGACTAGTGATGGGGGAAAAATTAATACAGTTACATATCGCAATATTATTTTGGATGATATTATATCGATACTTTTTGTTGATGTTGCTAGGTAGCGTTAGCTAGCGCTAGTCGGACATGCCTGCGCCAAAACTCTGGTATTTTGTTGCTCTCCATCTTCTTTTTAAATAGTGAGCCAACATGTTTTCAATGCTTTTATTTCCATGACTGATCAAACTCATTTTCTCATGCTCTCTCGTCTCTCTGCAGCAGACATATAGAGAGCAATATCTTTGGAACATCAAATTGCAATAAATTCGCAGTATCGAATCGCAATACATATAGAATCGTGAGAATCGCAATACATATCGTATTGTCACCTAAGTATCATTATAATATTTGTGAGATCCATAAGTAGGACTGTACATATCATATTATACATGAAACCTTATTTATTATGATCTAACAGTCAAAGCTGATCTTTCATCAGCACTTCTACTTTGAGACTGAGAGCCCTGAGCTGTGTTCAGTAGGGCAAAACATTGTGGAGGTAACATATTTCTATCTGAACAACTAGTTATGTAGAACAGCAGGAATGCCTCAATGACATGTAGATTAAGGAATCATGTCAGCTATATTCATCACATTTCTATCTGCAAGGTTCAGTATATTGTACATTGTGAATTGTGAAGTGAATTGATGGGTGGAGCTCTGGTGAAAGGGAATAGGGGAATGAAGCACATTGCTAGAAGTGGGAGTAACACTGGTTTCGTAACTACTCATAAAGACTTTATTTATCCCTCAAGGGGAAATGTTGTTTTGTTTTGCATGTTTTATTTATCCATGTTTTACATCTATTGTTGGTTAGGTTTATTCAGAGCTACAGGACAGAGATGGGGTAGGCTAGGTATACGTACTTCTACATTTGAACTGCTGCTTTGGACTTGGTCTGTGGACTAGCACTAGTTCCAAGGAGCCCATTATGTTTTCTCAATAGGAGCTAAAAATTGTGTATCTACAGCTTTCTCTATCCTCTGACTTGTGTCAAACTGAAGGGTATAACTTGCGTGTACATTATGATTTTATACAACATTTTATATGCAGACATTAAGAACACACAATCGTGTCTGTATAGCATTGTTTTTTTTTGTTTTTTTATCAACTTGTTTCAAAACAGCATTCTTACAGTATCTCTTTTCATATTCCTTCTCGTTAACATTTGTATATATAGTCTGTATCTTAGTAATACAGCATGTCTAATCATTCCCTATGACTAATAAGAACTACAGAGATAGAGATATGAACTAATCTCTTTGGCACTAATTCAAATTCAATAACTGTATCCAGTAATGTGAATGTGAGGCTTGAATTGATCCAGAAAAGATGTCTTAGACTTGGTCATTTGTATTACCCAAGCTCATTGAATAGCGTTGTTGCACAATATGGTATAGCACAAGGTTTGATACTTTCTAGACCACCAGAATAGGTATTGGTACCAAGTTGTACTGTCATGTATAAACTGTGTTATATAATGCTTTTATATTCAATGTAAAAAGAGATATGAATAACAATGGGTTTAAATGCATGTCATTATACTACATACACTACCGGTCAAAAGCTTTAGAACACCTACTCTTTCAAGGGTTTTCTTTATTTTTACTATTTCCTACATTGTCGAATAATAGTGAAGACATCAAAACTATGAAATAACACATATGGAATCATGTAGTAACCAGAAAAGTTTTAAACAAATCCAAATATATTTTATATTTGAGATTCTTCAAATAGCCACCCTTTAACTTGATGACAGCTTTGCACACTCTTGGCATTCTCTCAACCAGCTTCACCTGGAATGCTTTTCCAACAGTCTTGAAGGAGTTCCCACGTATGCTGAGCACTTGTTGGCTGCTTTTCCTTCACTCTGCGGTCCGACTCATCCCAAACCATCTCAATTTGGTTGAGGTCGGGGGATTGTGGAGGCAAGGTCATCTGATGCAGCACTCCATCACTCTCCTTCTTGGTAAAATAGCACTTACACAGCCTGGAGATTTGTTGGGTCATTGTCCTGTTCAAAAACAAATGATAGTCCCACTAAGCCCAAATCAGATGGGATGGCGTATCGCTGCAGAATGCTGTGGTAGCCATGCTGGTTAAGTGTGCCTTGAATTCTAAATAAATCACAGACAGTGTCACCAGCAAAGCACCCCCACACCATAACACCTCCTCCTCCATGCTTTACGGTGGGAAATACACATGCGGAGATCATCCGTTCACCCACACCGCGTCTCACAAAGACACGGCGGTTGGAACCAAAAATCTCCAATTTGGACTCCAGACCAAAGGACAAATTTCCACCTGTCAAATTTCCATTGCTCGTGTTTCTTGGCCCAAGCAAGTCTCTTCTTATTATTGCTGTCCTTTAGTAGTGGTTTCTTTGCAGCAATTCGACCATGAAGGCCTGATTCACACAGTCCTGTCTGAACAGTTGATGTTGAGATGTGTCTGTTACTTGAACTCTGTGAAGCATTTATTTGGGCTGTAATTTCTGAGGCTGGTAACTCTAATGAACTTATCCTCTGCAGCAGAGGTAACTCTGGGTCTTCCATTCCTGTGGCGGTCCTCATGAGAGCCAGTTTCATCATAGCGCTTGATGGTTTTTGCGACTGCACTTGAAGAAACGTTCAAAGTTCTTGAAATGTTCCGAATTGACTGACCTTCATGTCTTAAAGTAGTGATGGACTGTCGTTTCTCTTTGCTTATTTGAGCTGTTCTTGCCATAATATGACTTGGTATTTTACCAAATAGGACTATCTTCTGTATACCCCCCCCTACCTGTAAACCCCCCTTACCACAACACAACTGATTGGCTCAAACACATTTAGAAGGAAATAAATTCCACAAATTAACTTCCAATAAGGCACACCTGTTAATTGAAATGCATTATAGGTGACTACCTCATGAAGCTGGTTGAGAGAATGCCAAGAGTGTGCAAAGCTGTCATCAAGGCAAAGGGTTGCTATTTGAAAAATCTCAAATATAAAATATATTTGGATTTGTTTAACACTTTTTTGGTTACTACATGATTCCATATGTGTTATTTCATAGTTTTGATGTCTTCACTACTTTTCTACAATGTAGAAAATAGTAAAATAAATAAATAAGAAAAACCCTTGAATGAGTAGGTGTTCTAAAACTTTTGACCAGTAGTGTACATGTATTCATTTTACGTATCAATGCACATCCATATATAATTAAATGTATGAAAGCCCCCTTAATCTTTTACACCTTGCCATCCAGTGACGTGCGGTGAGGTCTGAGGCCGGGTAGGCACATTCTTGAGTAATTTTGTCACCTCAGGGACAGTCTGCGTCAGGTCATGCTGGAACAAAAAGCTGAGAAGCTGTCCAGGTGATATGTCTCGTAGCATTTGTGAACTGTACAATCCGACAACATCAGCCTTAAGTCTAACAAAATCGAAGTACTTGGCATATTTTGACAGGCTCATGTTTGCTGGTGTCGAACTTTTGTGACATTGTTGAATTTTTTTTTGCAGTCCACTAAGCCAAGGAAATTAAGTTTGCCAAAGTGGTCAAACTTGGCTCTCATCTGAACATTGATATTTCCCCCTCTCTATTCTGATCGGCTGTTTAATTTGAGTTTCGCTTTCTGTCAGGCCCAGATCATTGCATTTCTGCTCGAATCACTCATAGAAACTAATCAGTTTGTCGCTGCCGTTCCAGTGCTTTCATTGTGTCGCTGATCTGGGTATGGCAGACACCCATATCCATCACTTTGTTCTGCAGAACACGGAAGATCGTGCCAGTTTAATTGAAAATTCCATCATAGGCCATGGGCAAAAAGGAAACACGGTGGCAGACTCTAGATGGGTTGGTAACTGTTCATTTGTTTCAGCAAAGGCATGTAATAGTTCCACATAGTTGCCCCTGGGCTTGTTTGATGAGCTGGCACTCTTTGTTGCCGCAAAATGCCAACTTCTGTTTACCTAGGCAGCATGATGTAGCATTAATTAGCTAGGGCTTTCAAAATCTCATTGTTGTCTTTTACCTTTGCAGAGTGCATGCTGATGTTCAATCTCTGTTGTTCATTCAATGCCAGATCTATCCGTAAGCAGCCAAATGTCTTAAGAGCTATCTGGCTTTGGATGTGTGACAGATTTCTCATGCTTGTTGAGTGTTATAGGCAAGTTGTTCAAGTCGCAGTAACCGACTCTTGCCCACACACTGTCGCTGGTGGAAAACAGCAGGCAGGGGAAGCAGCCAGTCTTTCCATTGATAGCACTCAGATTGAAATGATTGGGTTATTTTCTGTCCCTTCCTCTGCTGTAGGTCCCCAAGCTCAGGTGTTGCTCTTCAACCCCCTGTTTTGCTAGAAAATCCTACTTTGAAAACTGTTTCAGATGCAATATGTTAGCCGTCCTGATTAGTTTACTTTAGCTAGCAGTAAAACTAACATAACTGCCAAAAGGCTGCAGGTCACGTGTGACATCGATAGGCCGGAGCGAGCTCTGCTATATCCTCCTGCATATCCACCTTAATTTTTTCACTCCAATACCATTGCGCATTTATTATTTGAGTGCAATGAAAATGAATGGGACATATTGAAACATGAAAGGCAGCGAAGCTCTCTGCCTGCCTTTCGGTGTCCGTTAGCTGGCAGTATAAGGTAGAAACACGCATGTGCAAGTCAAGTCAATGCCTTTCATTGAGCTTGGTTTAAAGGATGGGAGAAAGGCACACGGTGAGGCTGCCTTTCCCGTGGACTTTTTGCACATTTTGTACCAGATCACCACAAATATGGGAAGTAGTAGTGCTAGTTCAGAAATCGATTTTATCATGCAGAAAAAAAATGAAGATGACAAAAGGATTATTGATCAAATAATTTATGTATTTTTCATTAGTTTTTTTTTAAATTAATTTTCACTCTGCCTACCCTACCTACCCTTACCGC